ATTATTGAAAATTTTTATTTTAAATATTACTTTTTTAAATATAAGGATTTAAATATCAATTACAGATTATGTTTAGATGATCACTTAGGAGTGTGTCAAAGTGAGCGCTTACATATTATATATTGATTAACACATGCCACGCGTGACTCATGGATTATTATTCAAACGTAATCTGTAATAGGCCGTTTTTAAATCTTTATATCTCAAAAATTACTATTTGAAGTAAAGATTTATAAATAACTTTTTTACTTAATTTTCCGAGGAATCTTTCTAATAGTTTGATCCACGAATTTTGGGAACTCTGTCCTATATGCTGATTAACTTCTCATTATGTTACAAAAATTATATTATATTAAAAAATATATAAATTTAGCAGAAAATATATTATTATCGCACATGATAATGATATATCTTTTTTTGCTAATTTTGATGAATCGCTGGACAAAACAAACAATGGATCTCGCAGTATTCTGCGTTACAATTATATAAAACTATTATTATATAAAAGTTTATAAAACTGTTATCATTAAAACCGATAATAATTCAATCATTATATAGCATGTTCTCGTAGGTCATAAATTTAAAGAAAGCAGCAACTTATTTCTAATTTTCTGTATCTCTTCCTTGATTTTTAGGTGAAATCGAATTGCATTCCTCAAGATCTGATTCTGCTCCTTCAATTTTATGAATCATCTTGTCCTATATCAAATCATATTAATATAATAAGACATATAATTTATAAATTATTTATAATGTAATTATATTAAAGTAAAATTTGAGCAATATAATGATTTCAAATAGAGATTCAATAAAACAAAATTAGTTTAACATCCACATATTTTTTTCTTTTTACATATTTTTAAATCACAGACATTGATTGCTTATGCAAAAAAACTGTCTTAGATTGAAATTCTACTTCATATTAATATTATAAGATCGTCTTAAAAAATGTCTTATGAGTTTTCGGGGGGAAAGAAAAATAAATATTATATTTTGTATAATAGGAAGATCAATTCCGATGACTTTGATCTTAACACGTTATCAATGTCCTGAGTAATTTTCATCAGATTACGGCAATCGCTCGTTATTTGTTAAAGAGTTATTATAAAGACAACTTTTATAAATAAAATGTAATTTTTGAACACAAAGTATATATTTTACTATACAAATACGTATATATATGCTCTACATATATTCTGTTATATAATTTATATAATTGTTTTTCTTATATGCCAAAATAGAATAAAGCAAACATTTCCCATCCTCCACCCCTGTTTAAAGTTTGATTTTAAATGCGAAGTCCACTCCACTCTCCATAGATATTTCGTCATATGATATTTCG